TCTCTTTGTTAAATAATTTATGCGCTCGCATCAAAAACTTTCTCTCTTCACTTAAATCGTTTCTTAAATATACACATACAAAACTAGAATGCCTGTGAAAATCCTTACGAGGTGAGAGCTCACCATTTCTAATTTCACCTATAGCTCATCAGTACAGTGAAATCGGCATAAATATCCGAAGCTAAGTTTCCGAAAACATGCTTGATTGTTTGAAATATTTAAATTAGTGTCGATAATACGAAAAGAACTACAGATTGCATGCATCACAGCCTCCGTGTTCGGCTAAGGTAGCTCCAGCGGAGCTGGCGAGTCTGTTGCCTCATGGCACCGCGGGGCGAGAAGTCTTCGGCAGTACAATGCAGCTTCGTTCGCATCCCGAGTTAGAAGAAACACAATTACAGATTAAAGTATGCGAATTAGAAGAATAGGCGTGTGTATTAAAAGCTTTTTTGGGAACGTTTTCACAGTATATTCATCATACTTATACAGCCTCTGGGTTAGAGTGAATTACAATAGGCTCGATAGAAGAAGTCAGGAACATTGTTGTTTCTTCGCCGTAACAAACTATATAGCAGGTTTCTCCTGCCTTGACCGGGCTAGATTATACATACAATTTGAAAATAACGTTATTCCGAATACCATCATCCCGAACCCCGGCATGCCGAATCCTGTTAACATTTTTAAAACAAAGTTCCATAATTAAATTCGTTTCGTTCAAATCCACTTCCAAGATGCGAATTGAGGCATTATAATATGTGCGCATAATTGCTCAATTAATTTCGGAACCATTCCAATACATTAAGCCACATGAGCAGAGAATAGTGAGCAGAACGAACATGAGGCCAACATGAGACAAGAATAGTGAGCAGAACGGACATGTGGCTAACATAGCAGAGAATAGTGAGCAGAACGGACATGTGGCTAACATAGCAGAGAATAGTGAGCAGAACGGACATGTGGCTAACATAGCAGGGAATAGTGAGCAGAACGGACATGTGGCTAACATAGCAGAGAATAGTGAGCAGAACGAACATGTGGCTAACAAAGCAGAGAATGGTGAGCAGAACGGACATGTGGCTAACATAGCAGGGAATAGTGAGCAGAACGAACATGTGGCTAACATGAGCAGAGATTAATTAGTGAGCAGAAGGAACATGTGGCTATAATAGATGACGGCGCAAGCTTTTACCGATGAGTAATTTAGCAATAATTAAATATATTATAATTGAAGATCACCTGCGATTAGGACATTTGATTATTCGAATTTATGGAGTTCAAGACAAGAGTTAAATTAGCGAGAATTGAGATTATCTGTGAGTCGTGTAATGCCTTAGAAATAAACGTCTCTCAATACTTCGGCGCATTGCAGGCTTATATATATTAATTATATAACAGCTAACCTCGTGCGTGGGAAAATGATCAGGGCTTGAATTTTCAGACACTACAAAAATTTACACCATTTCTTTGTTACTCAATTTATAATGTTTAGTTGTTATATTTTGGGATAAGTTATCAAAATTGACAATTAAAGATCGTCGCATGTATTAGTCGATGAATCTACTACTAAAGTGCATGGTGACTAATCATTTTGTTCACCCATTCAAGTAAACTAAAATCTATAAGTATTCTTTTATTTTCCTGCGCAAAGCGTGTCAATTCCCTATAATAGAATGGTAAAATAACAAAATGTTTCAAACAATCTAGGCGGCTTGGAATTTATTAGGCATCGAATATATCAGTGGTAGCTTTTCCCCAAGTTAACGAAGGATAATTGATTTTTAAATTTTCTTATATACAAGAGAAAAATATCTATTTGTCGAGCAGCGAAATAGAATATGTCGTACTACACATAATAATGTGTAGTACGACATGTTCGACATGTAGTACGACATTACAAGTACACATAATAATGTAGTAGTAATGTGTAGTATAGTGCATGCGACTGGCCCCCTTTAAGTATTTGACTACAATAAACCTAATGTGGTCCATGTATACATCAGTCAAAGGCGAGAAAGTCAGAAGTAAGGTCTGAGTAATAGGCGTGTGAGTTGTGTAGAGAGCTGTGTGATTTATTAGTCGCATATTCTCCCTGTTCACCATCTGTAAACAGTTACAGTGATGCCTTTAACTGCTAAGTCGTGCTTTAACTTGAAAGGGTATCGGGACATTGGCCTTTGGACGTATATACGGACGTATCAGTCTAGCGGCAACTCATTCCTATATATGTGTCAGTGCAGCCTTTCTCATGCATCACCCCAACACCATTCTTTTGGGAGCATGTGTACTAAAATATCTGTTTCTCTGTATGGATCCAACCCTATCCAATGCGCTGAATATAAAAATTTATGGAAACTTAGGTAAGTTAACCCTGTATTTTATACGCATATGTTGGTCTCATTTAATTCGTTATCATGTTTTTCATTCTTCGTGTTCATTTATTATAGCATATACAAGGGAAGTTTGTGATTACAAATTGTCTCTATTATATTTTTTGCCAATCTTTTCTTATTTATCATAAGAATTTAAAGGGAAATGAGACACAAAGTTCCACGAATAGAAAATTGTTGCAGTTCACTGGACTGACGAGACAACGCAGGCCCGGAATATATATAGCGATCTGCAATATTTATATAGTACAGTTCCTGTATAACGCAGTAGACGTCTCGCCATGGAGTACAGTTCCTGTATAACGCAGTAGACATCTCGCCATGGAGTACAGTTCCTGTATAACGCAGTAGACATCTCGCCATGGAGTACAGTTCCTGCTATAACGCAGTAGACATCACGCCATGGAGTACAGTTCCTGTATAACTCAGTAGACATCACGCCATGGAGTACAGTTCACGTATAGCGCAGTATAGACATTATAGCCATTGAGCTTAGTTATCGTATATCGCAATAGACATTATTTAATATGAGGTAAAGTTCACGTATTGCCAGTTATTGCAGTTAACATAATATCTTAAAAGAACAGATCAAGAAAGCGCACTTTTTGCATGGGGTTATATATCTTGTTGGATCATCTCAAGCAAAATGACTTTAAACCCGAAAGCCTTCTTAACTGGAGTGAGGACGAATGTTGCAGAACATGTGTCGTACAAGATGAGCATTTCTTAGAGTTTGGAATTGGCCAAATTTAACCAACAGAAGTCTGTGAACAGATCCTATAGTAAAATCTCGTAAATAATACGTTAGCTTAGCAAAAATTGCTTAAAATTAGTTAATAATTATGAACTAAGTATTCGAAAATTCACTAACACAATCCGACTTGAATTGACTTCCATCGAAATCACAGGCAGGTTTGCAAATTTTAGGAAATAGCATTAAATTATAGGGTCCTCGAATATCAAAGAAAATTGTATGAATAAAATGGAATGAAACTTGCATACCTATTACGGGACTGGCTTTGAAGATAATTTAACATGGGATTTTGTCTCCAAAATATTCGGATTCGTAATCTTTATTTATTTTCTTTTTATTCTCTTTCTTTTCTTTCGTAATTTTTCTTTTTCTATAGATACGAAAGAGTTCAAAGATGTAAAATTGATTTAATTCGTTGATAAGCAACAACATAACAAAATTACTCAACCATTACTAATAGGTATATTTGGCATTTTTAGATAAATGTTTTTTGTTTCTGAATTAGAGCTATCAAAATCATGTCCGCAGCATCCGGAATGCACAAAAACGCTTATTGCATATGAATCTTCTTCAGGACAAGGACTAGAAACAAATCTAAAGCTAAGTCATGAAAAATCAATTGGGGAAATTCTTATTAAAGTCATGAGTGTAGCGAAGTCGTCTGATGGAGATCAGTGATCTGAGGGAGAACCGATCATCAGCAGCACCTACGGCTGACTCCAGCAACCGAGTGGGAGGTTTGGGGGGTAGAGTGAGGGTTTGGAGCCAATATACCGGGAGGAGCAAACAACCCGTCAACCGCTGGGAGGCGGAGTAAAAACCGTCCAGGGGGAGTGGTATTTGTTTTACAACCGTTTGAAGCAGGTAGCAAAATCGATCCTTAATTACATATCGATCAATCACATCCCAGGAGTCCAGAATTGTTCCTAAATAGTTTGCTTGCGGTGGGACGGACGTATACTTTTAACATGGACTGGCAGAATCTGATATAAAATTTTTGAACACAGATTTCCATTCATTAGCTGTACACTCACAATTCAAATGCTTCTTGCTATAAACAAATAACATTGAATGAAAATTTCTAATTTTATTAGATTTAATATCACCACGTTTCATTATACAAGCGTTAATTATACGTGACGCAAGACAGCAGTCATCCGAATTGAGCATCGACCGTCTCAATTCCCTCGTTAGAATGAAATGTAAATTCAAAGAAGGGATATGGACAAAAGTGGGAGTAGCATCATGCAAAGTTTTTACTGTAAGTATTGTAATTTTCTATGGACTTGCTTCTTAACTGTTGATTTTAAATGCCAATCATTTAAATTGACGATAAGTGAGCAAAAATGAAGCATTCTGATGTAACTTCTGAATCCGTTCATTTTTTACCCCAGATCGCCTAATATATATCGCCAGATATTTAGTTTTTATTTACTCCACAAGATTGTGCGTCTGCCCTGTTCTGCTCCGGACTACGGGTTGATAGGTCGAAAATATTTGCTTTCTTTACATTTATAATGGCCTTACATCTATTAATATAATTACAAACGTAAGTGATTTTAAAAACTTTATCGTTTACCATATATTTCGAATATGCAAAGGAACATTATACGAATTCTATCTGAAACTTTTTTTAATCGTACCAACAGATCAGTATATTATTTAAATTGAAATTGATGGTAATTCACCCGTAGAACGACCGTGCCTGATGAAAATTGCTTGTGTATGTCTTAGCGAATGTCTCTCCCCCACAGTAGTGTTTGTTTACGAGCCGCTATAATAGGAGTATCTGGCAACCCTGTCTCGGCCAGGTTACAAGAACTGAGGTGGGCCGTCCTACAGCCAGTTGACATCCAAAGCTCTGACGTGATGGTAGTAACGCTCTGGTCTCCGTGCCTGTCCACTGACGCGATGTGCCTCTGAAACTTTCTTGTGGAATTGATCTCAAATAGTTGAATAAGTCCTGAACCTCATTGCCACGATGAGGTTCCTAGTGGCTTCAAGCTTCTGTTTATGCGTATGGCTACATTACGCAGTGGCATTTACTTACAATGCGCCTAATAATTGTGAGTGGTCGTTTAGAAATCCTTCCAAGCAGGATGTTTCTTTGGTGTGTAATTTGAGAACCATCAGCAGTGATTTAGACAGCAGTAGCTTGAGTTTATCTCAAACTGATCATACTAAGCAACTCAGTATATTATGCAGTGATGTGCTATTCTTTCAGTCTTCTCTACAGTCGAGAATCTTTCAACGACTTTACAACTTAGACAAGTTGTCCTTGGAGTACTGTAAATTGTCCAGCCTCCCGAGTGGAACATTCCTGGGACTAGATGCTTTGAAGTATCTAGCCGTTACGACCCATAACAGCGATTGGTCTGGCATGGCTCTTGAGCTCGACTCAGAAAGCCTTGTTGGAATGCCGCATTTGGAAAGTCTTCAGTTGGGCAGAAATAACATCTGGACGTTGCCAGAGCGGGTATTTTGTCCTCTGCCCGCACTACGGCACCTGAACCTGACATGGAATCGCCTGCAGGATGTTTCTGAAGTTGGAGTAACTGGTGGTTGTGGAGCGCATCTTATTACGCTCGATCTTTCTGGTAATGACCTGGTGATGCTGCCCGAGGCTGGGCTAGCCGGACTCGAGTCCCTCAAAGAATTGTACCTACAGTACAACGAAATTTCTATGATGGCCGATGGGTCTCTGGTAGGCCTGAACAGCCTTAACGTTTTGAACATGTCCAGTAATCGACTTGTGGCCTTACCTCCTGAAATTTTCAACGAAACCTTGGCACTTCAACAACTCTACCTGCAGAACAACAGCCTCAGTGTTCTTGCTCCTGGCCTTTTTTCGAGCCTTACCGAACTCACCCTCCTTGATCTTTCCCACAATCAGCTTACTTCTGAGTGGGTTACCAGTGAGACTTTCAAAGGACTAATTCGTTTGTTTGTTTTAAATTTGAGCAACAACAAAGTAAATCACGTTAGTGCAGATATGTTTAATGATATGCCAGCGCTTCAAGTCCTGGACCTGAGTAACAATGACTTGACTAGCATCAGTGATCTTACGTTCTCATCGCTTGTCAACCTTCATCGTCTCGATTTAAGTTACAATCGTTTGGCTACATTGAAAAGTAGATCATTGGCTGGCCTTCACGTCTTGTCATCTCTATCCTTGTCTCACAATAATCTTTCTTCAATAGCGCCAACGGCTCTAGAAAATTGCACTAGCCTTAGAAACCTGAGAATTGAATACAATTTCCTGAAGGAAATACCTGAAGCTGTAAGCCAGGCAACCTCTCTTCGGACTCTTCGTCTCAGTCATAATCATTTGACCGAAATCTCCGAAGGATTTCTGACAAAACTGAAGAATCTGCAGCACCTCGACCTGTCGAACAATGTCATCCGGACGCTGTGCAAAGAATGTTTGAGCGGTCTCAGTGAAGTAGAAGTGTTAGACCTATCGATGAACGAGCTGACTGCTATTCCTCATAATTCTTTTGACACAAATCAAGGTTTGAAAATAATGCGATTAGATGGAAACAAAATTGGTGATGTTAATGCTTTGTTCGCTGCTCTGCCTAACCTCATGTGGTTAAATGTTTCTGATAATCGTATTACTTGGTTTGATTATGCCTTAATCCCCGCTCAGTTGGAGTACTTGGATCTTCAGCACAACCGCATCACCGAGCTTGGTAATTATTATACCATTCAAAAAGAGCTTCAGCTGAAAACCCTTGATGCATCTCATAACTTCATTGAAAAGCTGGGGCCCACATCTGTTCCTGACAGTATTCAATTCATGTTTGTGAATAGTAATCGCATAACAGAGATTGCATCGGGCACTTTTTCTGATAAAGTTAACATTTCCATGGTGGACCTCTTTGACAATTTACTAACTAAAATAGAGTTGACTTCCATTCATTTGTCACATGTCCCAGAGGAACGTGAACTTCCACAATTCTACGTGGGTGGTAATCCTATTTTCTGCGACTGTAATATGGAGTGGATGCACCGGGTGCATCAAATCAGTGCAAGGCGTCAGCATCCTCGTGTTATGGACCTCGATAAAGTGACGTGTACTCTTCCATATCCAAGATCAAACGAGAACAGAATTTCATTTCTTGAGACCAAACCCTCGCAGTTTTTGTGCCCTTACTCCTCGCACTGTTTCGCGTTGTGCCAGTGTTGTGACTTCATTGCCTGTGATTGTCAAATGACGTGTCCAACTGGATGCTCTTGTTACCATGACGACACATGGGCTACCAACATTGTTGATTGTTCAGCTCGCGGTCATCATCAATTACCTGATGATATTCCAATGGATGCAACCGTTGTCTACATGGATGCCAACGAAATGAATATCTTGGATGCACATCACCTAATTGGAAGGAAGAACTTGCGTAAGCTCTTCCTGAACGAATCAAGAATCGAAAGTATTGAAAATCGTACTTTCCATGGGTTGTCATCTCTCAGAGAGCTACATTTGCATGATAATTACTTAGTTAATCTTGTTGGTTACGAATTCGAATTCCTTGATCATTTGCAGTTTTTAAATTTACAAAATAATAGGTTAAGATCAATTAATAATCGCACCTTTGCTGGATTAGCAGCTCTGGAAGTGCTGATGCTCCAAGGTAACTTCATTGTCGACTTTCCTGTTTGGAACTTGAAAGCCAACAAAGGACTGCGAGAAGTTGGACTTGCTAATAATCTGTGGTCGTGTGACTGTCGCTACCTTGTCGATTTTAAAAATTGGCTCATTCGGCAGGGTGAAGCCGCGATCGATTCTAAGTCTCTATTTTGCGTTTCCAATGCCACTGGAGAACCTGGACCTTACATTCTAGAAACTTCCTACTCTTGTGAGAATTTTGTTGCGACTTCTATAGTCCAGGAAAAAATTCACAATGACTTCTTACAGCCAATTCTTATCACATTAGGAATTTTTTTCGTGTTGTTTGTAATATGTGCTATTTTCATCATTCTTAGAGTTCGGTTTCAAAAAGTTGTGAGCAAAAAATGTGGCCTGAAACTTTTTCCTCCCGAGCCTGCCGCCATTCCGAAAGAAGACGACAAAGCTATAATCTACGATGCTTTTGTCAGCCACAGTGACTTGGACGCAAAGTTTGTCAATGACACAATATCCAGAGAGTTGGAAAATGCCGAGCCTCCGTATAAACTGATCTTATCCTCTCGTGATTATGAAACAGTTGGGAACTACGTAGGAGATTTTATTGTGCATTCCATAGAGGCTAGCAGAAAAACTGTTCTCATTATCTCGAAGAATTTCCTTGATAACGATTGGTGTAAATTTTCTTTCAAAGCTGCTCATCTAGAGGCGTTGAAAGCCTTCAAAAGCAGGATAGTCGTTATAATGATCGGCAACGTATCTGAAAATGATTTTGATTCTGATTTAGCATTAGTTGTTAAAGGCGCTCCTAGTTTACATTTTGAAGATAAAGATTTTTGGAACAAATTGCACGCTGCACTGCCTGCATCTCCTACAAAAGCCACAGCTCCTGACTGCTTCATAAACGAGACCAATTATGTTACTAGGAATACCATGCCAGGGCTCACTCCTTCTCACAGCATTAAAACTAATCCATTGGTGCCCAGTATGGTCTTGAACAGCACAAATTTAAAGAACACTACTTCTCTTCCTCACCATCATTTACATCATCATCACCACCATCACCATCACGTACCCCAACAGCGAAGTAGTACCATCCTCCACCAACATCAACAGCAGACTTCCATAGGGAGTGACCCTGGTGATTTGGATAAGACGTTTGCTAGTGGCGAGACGGCGCAGTCCAGCCTTGCACCTAGCCTCTCCCCTAGCGTAGCTCCCAGTCTTAGTCATTCCTATATGTCCATCGATTATGCTACGGCATCTGCTGCAAGATCATCTCATATTTATGCTTCTATAGACGATTCCATAAATCCAAACCCACATTTTCCACCTACTTCGGTTGCGGCAGTCCACGCCCGTGGTCATTATCAGCCTCTTCATCAACCCCTTCACCAGCAGTTGCAACCTGTCAGCATTAGGAGGGCTCCCATCTCTCAGTATCCTGGCATCAATAATGCTGAACTTTCTCGAGAGCTTTTGCAGAATAGTCCCCAACATTTTCCACCTAATAGTTTTATCCACAATAATCATAGAAATCCTAATATTCAATACCCTAATCAAAGACCGGACTTGCCTGCATCATATTTCATCTGAATATTCACTTCCTTCCAATGGCTGTTTGTTACTTGAACTCTATGTTTTTAGAGACGTAATACATTTTCTTATTTATTCGATATTTTGACGTAATACAGACTTATAATTTGCGTCTTGTTACCTAGTCTTTGTAAATAAACTTATTGGTAATTTAGGAGGCATACGCATACTTATTATTACACATAATAACTATTTACTTACGACTTATGCGGTTGAGGTATTAAACTTTTGTGATGTATCAAGATGTTTATATTTACATCTTGATCTCAATACATTGTAAATGGTCTTATTTACTTGCAACACTTGCAGTTCTGGAATTGAAGTTGAAAGCGCCTGATATCTTAATGTTCTTATCGCTGCGTTTCAAGAACCTGGCAATTCATACCTTAGCGGAGGTTTACTATCATGAAATATTTATATTTAAATTCGTTATACTTGAATTCTTTCAGTTAATTGATCATCTGACATGGTAAAATTTGCCTTTTGTTGTTAAACGTTGACTCGCTCTAATTAACACCGCAGTTTGGTTTTAAATCTAATTTGTCTTGAAGCTAATCCTTTAATAATTCGAATGTCTAGTCAGAAGAAAAGTTGTCAAAAGATAGTGGCGCATTTACGTAAAGGGCACAATGTTATCTGGACAATTTTCTTGGCTAAAGTTTGGAGCTTTGCAGCCTGGTGAAAGTAGCATAATGTGCCTTAGATTCTAATGTAATTATATACGGTACCTATACATAAATGTATTAACTGGTCTGTTTCAAATACTGTTGGTGCACTCTTGAGCGATGTGTCTTATCATTCTAAATTGTATGGTAATCACCATATACTTTTTAGCATCAACTACAAACGGGATTTGAGTGCAACCTACCGTACTTTTTTCATTTCATGTTCATTGCAATTGCTCTAGCATTTTTTTCTTTGCTTAAACCAAGTAGGTAAAATGAATTCACTTGAATATTGATTTTATTTCAGTTAGATTCTTTTTAAAATTTTCCATACAATAACTTCTAGTATAGGTATTTCATGGAACTTTTCCAAGCTCACGTGTATTTGTTACTCGTTGCACCTAAAATTCGAAAACCATTATGTTACATTGTCTTGTAAGTGGCTGAATTTTAGCAAATGTCCAATGTTTTTTGGTAAAATTTGTTTGATGAATATAATTTAAAGATTCACTTAGTCACTAATGTACGTTTTATATTGTTCTCTTCTATTTAATGATTGAAAGATCCCATGTGTCAATGTAGTCGTTATTCAGCTGATTGATCGCCTGAACTATAGAACTTTTTCCCTTGCAAGAGAACTTCAAAGGAATTCTAGGGAATCTAACTTTATGTTTTTTTTTTTTCATATTAGGTTGACTACCATGCTTTTCGATTTCAATTTTGGTTGACAACCATTCTGTTTGATTTTTTATCAGCATATTAAGGTGTTCCAGTGCCATTGATTGACGTGAGATGTCGGTGATACAGGCTCTGATTTGCGTCCTTAAAACAAACAGTTCGATCGATGTTTCATTTAAATTAATAAATTCTGCCCAAGCTTCACAAAAATGTTGCAACCGCCGTGAAGTTTAAAACCATATATACTTCTAAGGTTATTAAAATTTACTTTTTTTGGTGTTTTGTTGTTGAAAATTGTATTGTAATTTGACTAAATTTATGAAAAGACAAAGAATCTTAAATAATTTGTCAATGAGCTGTAAAAAGAGACGCAAATATGTTTGGGCTGCTCTCTTACCGAAATTTAAAATACGTGTGCATAGCCGTTCTCGACGAACGTGTTATGCATTGAGATGGTGACCCCGTTTAGCAAATTGTTTAATATTTAACGCAATAGATGCCTTCTTTAAATAATGTCAGTGTGTTGCTGAATGAATAGGTTAGGGTTTTCTGCATTACTGTCGTTAGTGACTCACTCCTTAGATGATATTATCTCCACTATTACAGAAGTTGTAGTTTTTCTTAGAAGCTGTAAAGAAATCAATTGTAAAATTCTGTAAATAGTGTACATTGAATTTCTGTAAATAAGACGTGATATTCTTTGCCAAAGTGTGATATATTATTAAAATTATGCTTGAAAGAGCACAGAACGGGTATTTTCCTATATAATATGAATGAAAAATAAAAATGAATATGTCGGATGATTCTGAATTTCAATTCTTTCCTTGATGGGCGAGGTTGGGCAAAAATGTTATCAATCCATTTAGGCTTTAAATTAACTTGGAAATTAATATTGTGGCACTTGATGTTTCAAGCAAACCAAAATATGAAAAGTGTGACTCTCATTTTTTATTAAATCATTTTTTCAATGAATGCAACGTTTTATGAATGAAGCTGGTAGAAGTTGAACGCTTCACAATAATGGAAATCCTAATTGAACTTATATAGAGATCCACGACGTAAATTTCCGAGGTGAAACTGAACATTCTTATGCCAATACTTCGTGAGCGCAACATGCGAGAAGTTTGGTAAATAAGCCTCATGTTAAATGATAAATCTTGAATATAATTCCTAAGAAGCGATAATGAATCGATAAAAACTTGAAATATGGATAAATTAGCAATATTTATAAATCGATAAATTTGATGAATTTCATCCTACATCTCTGAAAAAAGTCTCAGCTTTATTGTTCGACAGAAAATTGTTGCATAGCATTTAATGAGGTTGATAAATACATCATTTCATACTATAGATAGAACTTTATTCTCTCAACGATGATTTCTATAAATTCGAACAATATATTTGCACGCATGTTAAAATATATATTATGATATGAGAAATCGAGCAACAAAAGGACTGATATAAATTAATGAAGCTACTGGATGGCCGCTGAAAACCTGACTTCGATAGCAGCTAAATAATTGCCGGAGTTGGAGCACGTTTTCTAACAGTAGCAGCGATGCTTCCGGTAGCGCGGACGATGCGAAAAGCCAGCGGAGTGATGACGTCACGTAGCTCCTGCGCTCCTCTTCTTACTGCTTACGAATTAGCGAAGCGAGCTGAATTGCTCAGAATCCCTGTAGGATATTAGAAAAGACGCGTAGAGTACAAGTAGTACTTTACTTCAGTACTTACATTCGTTCTCATTTTATCGGATTAGTTAGAATTATTTCAAGTTTCTCATACACGAGGAATGCGCTTAATTCGATTAGCACAACTGGAGTTAATATATAAACTCGGCATTGCACGGGAACCAATCTTTTCGTAAGTCACCAAGCCTCCAAATGCCTGGAAGTTGAGATACCATTTAATGCAAGCACCCTGGTCCCACTGAGACGATAACTGCTATTTAGAAGAGCAGGTAACATACAATGGGATCCACTATACCAAGTATCGCGCATAACAAAATAAAGTATAGATTACTCGCACTTGTACGTGCAGCTCGGAGCCCATCGACGACGAACAATGGAAAAAATGGCGTCCTCTGTCGATTGAAGAGCCACAGATGTGCTGTTATCGCCGTGTACAAAATGCTCTCTAATTGGTCAATAAAAAGATGCAGCTGTAACGCACATAAATCTCCGTCACATCAGCTGCCATTTCGGCGCTTGCATGGTCGCTTTATCGGAGACACTTGAAATCCTTATCGTTCCGTTTGTAGGAATGAAACGAATACTTTTAGCCACAGCATTAAAAATCAAGATTCTAAAATCTATCGTCTATGATACAACACAATACTATGATTATGTCGGATTTGTTGCCAAAGAGTAAGAAAAATATAATGCCATTAAGCAGTTTAACCACAAACAACACAACAGACAGGAGTATTTCTGCATCTGTGTCTCTATTATACCGAGAATAAACAGATTCACAGAGTTCCCACGCTGAGCCTCCGTTGGCATAATGAACTTCGTTAAAGTTCTTTTCGAAAAATAGATAGAGATTTTCGGTGTTATGGTGTGCGTTTGTGCGGGGAAACATTTGTGCTGGTTTGTTGTTGTAAGCCCTGGACTGCGGTATGGTAAGTTATTCTCTTGGCTCCAGAATAGAGCCTAAGTTAATAGCGGCCGCAACTATTGTGTTGGGCTACACAGGCCTCTTACTTCTGGAATGCAGGCCGCCAACTGCGACGGGAACGCAAAAGCGAAGCGCCTTTTGTGCTCCTGATGAGCATCTCTTGCTTGCCGACCTTATTTTTGATCAGGACATCTTGTGTGGGTACGCTAATCAACAGCGTGGTGAACATATCCCCGGGAATGACGTTCCAACTTACTGGCATCTTCACACATGATGATCAAACTTACTGGCATCTCCACACATGATGATCAAACTTACTGGCATCTCCACACACGATGATCAAACTTATTGGCATCTCCACACACGATGATCAAACTTATTGGCATCTCCACACACGATGATCAAACTTATTGGCATCTCCACACACGATGACCAAACTTATTGGCATCTCCACAAGACGCCCACGATGGCCAAACTTATTGGCATCTCCACACGCGATGATCAAACTTGTTTTCATCGCTTCTCACTACGATCAATTTTGTTAGCTGGGATCTACGCACCGAAAGATCAATAGATCTGCTGATGACTGTTCTCTCGATGATCTAAGTTGCTGGGATCAGCACACACGGTGATCAAACTTGCTGGCATCTCCGTTTTATTTTTTCAAAGATTGGTACATATAGCTAATTTTACCACGAAGAAATAACTTAATTTAGATGTATTGAATTTATTATGACGTCCAATCTTAAAGTTGTACTATTTGACGAGACATAGTGTATCAGCGACGCATTTTCTTCCATATCGTATTATGTCCGAACCATATATATGCGTGAATATATTTATATAGCAGCTGGAAACCAGTAAACTTTGTATTTCGTTCAGTAAACGTTAAAATGGATCAAATTTACTTAAAATTTCTTTTTTTTTCCTTTCCACCATTTCCTCAGTATTGCTATCCTGGATTCTTCCATCTACATTTGGAGCCGAATTTCAATGTAGATACTCGATGCATTTCAGTCAGAAAATCGAAGCTGCGTCAGCACTCCTCAACTTGCACAGTAATGAGTGAGCGCATGGATCTTCTTTGAAGTTCCTATCACACAAGTCTGCGGGACCGGCAAAAGTCAAATATTTTCTGCAGATCTGAGCAAATGTTTGAAGATATGAGCAACCATGTAGAACATAAATGAAATGCTCACTAAATTAAAACATGTTTTGTATAATTTATGACTAAAATCATCCATACCAAGCATACGTTGAACGTATGCCTCTTTTATGTTATTATATTGGATCAAAATTCGATCCATGAAGAAACACTTCAATCATTGCATCATTAAATACGTCGAGGAGTTGAATTCTTGTACGGTCGACTTCCGGTTTTCCAAAATAGTACCATATGTTTTAACTTGTGTGCAAATTAGGTGCTTTTCTACGACTTTTTAAAAAAATTCTCATTAGGTGTCTTTTTATGGTGGTATTTTATTTCATGCATGACCCAAGATATTGAATTCGAAACTGGGTACACAAAACTTGCCTTGACAAGCATATCGATATTCACTCGCAGAGGAACAATCAGCATTTTTCGTGTATTGAAGCTAACCAAAGGAGGCCACCAAAAGCCGCGAGTGTGTCACTCTGAAAGTAAACGGTCGCGGATGGCACCACAGTACAGAAAAAGTGAATTAAAATTTCCAAAGCCAAGAAGAGAGCTAGCGAGCGAGAGGTTCAGAAGAGGCATCCGCGGCCCATTGATCGGCCACAATAACTCGGTTTAGGCGACACGCCGAGTCCGGTATTGAGTCCATTGTCACCGAACGGCAGTATAATCTTTAAAGTGTCCTATCGAACATTAGCGCTTCAAAAGGCTTCGGCTCCATGCTGATGAGACGCCCATGAAAGGAGCAGAAATGTGCTCTTGAATCTGCACAATGGGAGTCGTTTTAATGCCTTGGAATAACATCGATGCGAGCGACCGGCTCGGGCGCGGCAGGACTTGCCAGCATCGTGTCCGCTTGTCACGCCTCAAACTTTGTTCGGCACGACGTCAGAAGTATGGAAATCTACTCGAAAGTTGCAAAATATATAATCATGGATATCCTGAGTCATTGCGGGGAGCTGAATTTTTGAATTATTACTCTGATTCAATTGCTAATGAGTTCTCGGGCAGTGTTTTGGCCATACAGGATTGAAGAAATGACTCATGTTAGGATACTATTAACGCTAAAAGCAAAAATTAATATGCTGTAATTATTCCAATCATTAGAATCATCGATGAATCGCATGATTATTGAATTTGATATCTATATATGCCTTATAATATTTATATAAATTGGACTACGAAGTTTACTTGGAACCACAAAATTCAAGTTTTTTTACGCACGCGGTATTC